TTTTTCCAACCATATCTCCATCCTGTTAACCTGTTAAAATGGAGGCTGATATCGTCTTTCTCATGTTGTTTTGCTGACGGGAATCTTCTGTTGTTTTGCAACTCGAAGCAAAATAATAATTTCCTTTCTCACTTGCAGAGGAGCTTAGGCTTGAATACTTGTATATAAAATTCTTCACTGCATTCTTTCTGCTTTGTTCTTGAATTAGAGAAGGATGTAAGAAATCTAATGAAATTGAATGATTTTTTTTGTTAAAAGAAGCAGTGGTTTGATAGATACAGAAGATTTTTTGTGGAAGATGTCCTAGATTTTGTCTGGAATTAGTGAGCTCCTGTGGTGCTTGTGCGTGTGAGCATGATTGCAAAATTGGATCTTTCTTAGAGATGAGATTTAAACTCTCGGTCATGCAATCTCTTCCTTCATCACTCTGTGGTTGTTGTGTTTTGACGTCATCTGTACGGGCTTCAACCGGCGGGTAAAACAGGAACTGCCATTAGTTTCTTGAAAAGCCTGCTGGGTCACATGGTTTGGATCACATGGTCAGGAGCTGTCATGGTGCCCTGAGACAGATGGTGCCAGCGGATAGAGGCTGCACACCAGTCCTGGTTTTCTCTCTCTGCCTCATAAGGATACGCAGATTACATTCCTCATCCTCTTCCTCCCCCCATCCTCTCTCCCTCCAGTCACTCTCATTTTTGCTCACCCCCACACGGCTTTTTATCAGCTCATTTCTCCATCGCTTCTAATCTATTTTTCTCTCTCACACTCGCATATACACACACACACGCACACACACACATCTTTTTATAGCACTCTCTGCTCTCTTTCAATCTGCTTTACTGCCTCTCAGTATTTTACTCCGTTTCTGGCTGCCTTTGACCTTCCCCGGCAGAGTTAATGTCCATCTGGTTTGAAATGTCCACTGAGGGAGGATTACTGCCGCCGCGTTCCAGCCGCTTCTTCACCCATTCCGGGTTCTTCCAATTGGAGATTGTGTTTGGCTTTTTTTAAACTCTTCTGTTTAAAAACCTATATTTCTTCCTTATGTTGCCCCAACTGCTTCCACTGCCTCCTCTTGGAAAATTACACACTACGACTGAAAAGACATTACTTTTTTCAAATACAAACTGCTCGTTCTCAGGCTGGAGCTGCTTGACCATCCTCGCAGAGTATTGCTTTTGTTTGACTGAAGCTCTGACATTAGAGCGCCATCTTTGAATCGTATCAGGTCCCCTGATTGGCTGCGATTAGGCAAAGTGATGTGCTTCAATCTCATTTCTGCTTCTTCCTTATTCTCTGCATGATTAATTCACATCTCCCCTCGCTGTTGCCTGTAATTGTGCACACTTACTTTCTTTTATTACTTTGCAGTCAAGCTCAGTAAAATGGATCAGTTGCACAGTGTTTTGCTAAAACTGCTTAACTAATCAAATCTGCAGATTAAAGTCCAAACACAGTTCTTTTCTTGGATACTTCTATCAGCTGCTCTTTTTTGCAGTTACACTGCATTTCCAGGTTTAGCTTCGGGTGTCTCCAGGGTTACCATGGCCTATTTGGGCCTGATTCAGTCTTTTAACTATACATCCTGTGGGCTTTATTACATTGTGTTTTAATTGCCTCGCTTTTTATGCTAATGCCTGTTCTGTATTGAGTACCGATCCTCTCTGGTGAACTGAGATGACCCTTCTACTCTCAATCTTTCTGCATACATAAGCACAATGCACACATCCATCACAATAATTTAGAACATCATCTAAATCTATCCCAGTAATTTGGTTCTAAAAAGTGAAATTCAGGTCAGTACACTCAAAGTGATACATTTCTGACATTTCTGATGCTGCAAGCTAATTCCATTAGCTTGCAGCTAATGGAATTTTGAAATTCAGTTTCTCTGAAAATACATTTTACACAACATATACTGTATATGGTTTTAAATCTAAAAATTTCACATTATGACCTCGCCAGTCATGCAGAAAATTGCTGGCTTGACAGTTTTCCAGGTGACAGTGACTGAAACATGCCACAAGGAGGGGGTAAGTCACCAAAGGTCACTGCTAAAGAAGCTGGCTGTTTATAGAACACTACCCTAGCTTAATAATGGAAAGTTGAGTGGAAGGAAAAATTATTGGTATGAAGTACTCGAGCAACAAAGATGCCTGCAGCAGATTACAAACAAAAGCCTTTTCAAGAAGACGTTGATGCTTTAAGTGCTAAAACCCACAGGTTTATTTTGGGCTTAGGCTACAACTTTGCATTATTTGTGTTAAACTACAGAATTTGTTGATTCTGCCGTGATAATCTGCTGGTTTCTGTCAACTTTGTTTTATTAAGTCCAAATCACTGCCGCCATTTACTTGTAAATTTGATCTCTTCATGCTTCCCTCTGATAACAAGACTTATGGAGACACTGATTTCATTTTACTGGCGAAGGGAACAATTCTTTCAGTGCTTTTCAGCGCTAGCTCTTTCTGCTGGATTACTGGAATAAATACATGTTTCAGTAATTCTCTAATTTTGGGAAAATGCAAAATTTGATAAAAACGTCTTCTTGAAAAGGCATTTGTTTATAATCTGCTGCAGCCATCTTTGTTGCTCAAGCACTTCATACCAATTATTTTTCCAATAATTGAACATACTGATTCAAAAACCAAATCTATAAAAAAAATAAATAAATGCACCTACTCTGTACCCGCTTACATAAATTGATATTTGTGTGAGAAAAGTACTGCAGGCTGATTATGATTCAGCGCTGATTAACAGAATCAAGTGCTAGCAGGCGAGCTAACTGTGGAGCACATTGTCATGAACCACCTGGCACTTTTATTGCTCTGGTTTATTATGCCATATTTACAAACAGCCTCTACTTTGATTTATTTATTTATTATTATTTTTTTCCCTCGTTCCACATGCAGCCAGGAATTATAGCAGGAGACGAGGTAAAACATATTCATAAATCTATAATGTCCATCTGTGGAATATGTTGTTTTAACCATTTTATTTTATTTTTTTCTATTTAACAAACTGTTTTCTGATTTATTTAATATTGCCTGCATGGTTTTCTTTTTTAAATTTGATTCCCATGTTTTGAAATAAATTTTTCCATGTGTGTACAAAATTGTCTAAATGTTGAGTCTTGTTATAAACTTGTGAAACTGTGTCTTTTCCTCTTGCGAGGCTTCACTCTTTGCATATTTCCTTTCCTCACTTGCGTTTTGCAACATTAAACCAGTGTTGCATTTAGCTGAGAGTTAATGAGGCAGTGAGGTACACAAAGCGTCGTATGTCATTTACCCAATTCTGCGGCGGAAACACACACACGTCACACTGTGGAAGTTAAGGCTAACACCCTCGCATAAAGCTTTATAAAGCAGCTCAGGGCAGTTCGGATGGGACGGCTTAACCTCCACCACGCATATGTTCCACAGTGAAAGTATTCAGACTTTAGAGGACTGCTGTGTTTGTGTGATTAAGCTTGCGTGCCTGCTTCGTGGGAAATCATTACAGTTGAGTAACTTCCACAAGAAGAGCACACAACATTTTGGACATTTTTTGCTTTTTGTTTTCACACTTCATATTTCTTTTAATCTTAGTTTTATTTATTAGGAAGCATTTAGAAATGCTTCCTAAACACCAGCCTCACAAAGTGTTCACACCAGTTGAACTTTTTCCCCATGTTTCAACCACAAACTATTTGAATTTAATGTTATCTACCAACTAAGTAGATTAATTGGTTGGGAAATCATTTTTGGCATTAAGCGCTCTTCTGAAAAGTGTAGGTTTGATTTTTTTCCCCCTTGACTCTGATAACAATCCAGGGATCTTTGACATGTTGGTGGGCGATCATTAAGCAGAGAATCAACCTAGAGCTCCATGCTAACTCTGGAGGAGCTGCAGGGATCCACAGCTATTTTGACTAAACAACTCTTAGGTTTGCATGCTACAAATTTGTTTTGTTTAGTTTTTGTTAGATCAACAAGTCGATGAAGACATTTTTAGTTATAAAAGATTTAAACATGCCGCAACAAAGGAAAACAGAACCATTCCCTCAGTTTTTGCTTTTTTCTACACATTTGCCAAGGCAAAAATCTATAAAACAGAAGTCATCATCACCATTATGACATAACTTATCTTTACCTTTTTTTTCTCATCTTGGGAATTAAATCTATTCTCCTGACCTCCTTATGTTTTTTAGGCCACTCCTCGCTCTTTCCAATGGAGGACAGTTTCCCCGATGATGAGCGAGCTGACCAGGGTCTCGCGGGCCTCGGCTCCCCACACTGCTTCCCACATCAGAACGGAGAGCGCGTGGAACGCTACTCTCGCAAGGTCTTTGTTGGCGGACTGCCCCCAGACATAGACGAAGGTACAGTCATTAAAATGAAAACAAAGGCTTATTTCTCTCATATCAGAAGCTCTTTGTGTTTGAATTAAATTGATATTTAATCATTTTCCTTTCTGTTTCAGATGAGATAACTGCCAGCTTCAGGCGTTTTGGACACCTGTTTGTGGACTGGCCTCACAAAGCAGAAAGCAAATCCTATTTTCCTCCTAAAGGTATTGAAAATAAGTTAGACTTGTTTGGGTATTAGTAACATAGCACATAAAAGTTCCAGCCACATGTAATCTGCTTCTTGGTTTTCCTCATCTTCATCCATATGGGTCTGACTTTAGGTAGCAATCTGAATCACTTTTAATAGCATCTATAAAGTTTACACCTGTGTAATAGAGGCTGACCACTTCAGGACATAGAGCACATGCCTGAATTCAGGGCTCAGATGCACAGTCACAATAATCAGTCTGTTAAACTGGAGTTTCTGTACTTGAATGACCTGCCTGTGTTTGGTGTAGGCTACGCCTTCCTGCTGTTCCAGGACGAAAGCTCGGTGCAGGCCTTGATCGACGCCTGTATCGAGGAGGACGGCAAACTGTATCTCTGCGTTTCCAGCCCTACCATTAAAGACAAGCCAGTTAGTTTAAAGTCACACAGTTTTTCTGTTTCTCTTTGTTGTACTGGCTTTTTTTTTTCTTTTGTGAGCTTTTTGTGTGCTTGTGCCTCAGGTACAGATTCGCCCGTGGAACCTGAACGACAGCGACTTCGTGATGGACGGATCTCAGCCTCTGGACCCGAGAAAAACCATCTTTGTGGGAGGAGTTCCCCGTCCGCTCCGTGCAGGTATTTGTCACTCTTTGTTCTTCTGGAGGTTAAATTGAAAACAAATGAGTATTTGTAATAAAAACAGTTGAATTTTAGGTACGCACAGTGCATACGGGCTGGACTTATACCTCATTTATGACCCATATTTTGAGGCTTTATGAAAGGTCTTTAAAATTTTCCTGCTGTTTGTTTCTGATCGCTGCATAAAAAATAATACATTACCATTCTGTACTTTTCCTGCCTTGTTCCCATTTGCTTAATACTCCTCTCTACGGAGTAATCAGACCTGCTGGGTAATAAAGCTACAGAGGCATTGACCTACACTGGTGGTATCAAAATCAGCTCTTTGCAACCTGCTGAGCAGTTTAGAATATTGAAATGTATTGTTTCCTAATAGCAGTGGTATGTGTATTATTAGTTCATGTCTGTGAACTAATAATACACATGGTTGCCATGTTTTAAGCCTCTGTAGCAGTGAACAAGGTCATCAACAGCAAATATTCTGTAAACCCCTAAGATGGTTTAAAATAAAAAAAATAGTCATTACCATAATTTTTATTTTAGTAAACAAAGGTTTTTAGTTGAAAATCAGAACACAGTGAAGTGCCCTGCAAAATTTCTTACATTTTGACAATTTTTTATTGGGATTTTATGCATTCGTGCATCAAAAAGTAGCATCTGATTCTGAATTAGAAGGAAGATTTTTTACAAATAAAATCTCTAAAGTGAGGGGTGCTTTTGTACCCTCTTTACTATAAAACCTCTAAATAAAATAAACTTCAGAAATTTCAGTCGTAAATTCATGGAACAAGATGTGCAAGAAGAAAGTTATGTTTGAAAGAAATCCCATTTGCAGTTTACCACAAATCTTGCAGGAGATTCAGAGAATATGTTTTGTTTGGTCCATCTTTCATCAAGGTGCTTTTTATGTTCATTCCGATGTAAATATGCACATTAACTCAATATGTTATTTTTATATTTCTTTGTGATTTCAGTTTTGTGACTTTCTTCTGCATATTTTTGTAATGACTTACACATTTACATTTCGATGCTCATGGGATTTGGTTGAATGTTCTAGATTAAACTGTACATAGTTTATCTGATGAAGAACCCATCTTTGAAACGGCCCGGTTCCACCTCCTGGTGCAACGAAGCAGCTAAGATGGAACTCCTCTGGAGTAAAACCCTGTTCTGTTTATCAGGAAACCAGCACTGCTCATTCCCAGGAACGTGACAGTGGCAGTTTCATGCTGTGGGGGTGTTTTTCTTCACCTGGGGCTGGGAAACTGTTCATAATTAATGGAGAACTGGATGAAGCTAAATATATGGCAGTCCCGGAAAAAAAAAAAAAAAAAAAAAATATTATTAAAGACTTGAGGCTTGAGCAGGAAACCCCATAAACATCCAGCCGGTGTTGTAACTAAATTGTTAGACTGGTCTGGTCACTAAATCTAGCTGGTAACCTGTAGCAAGACCTGAAAACTGATGTTGCTTCCAATCAAATTCTAATGGAAAATTACATAAAATCCTAACATTGAAGTTTATGATTGTAATGTAACAAAAAAAGTAAAAAAAAAAAAGTTTAAAGAGTATGTATTCTTTCTCACTGAAATGTAAACTTAGAGTCTTTTCACATCAGCAACATGTGTGCTGGATTTTTGGTGTTGAGTATTTTTCGCTCCTAGTATTTCTCCTTATTTTAAAACGACGCTGCTTTATTTTTTCCTCCTCAGTGGAACTGGCCATGATCATGGACCGCCTGTACGGTGGAGTTTGCTACGCAGGCATCGACACGGACCCAGAGCTGAAGTACCCCAAGGGAGCGGGGCGGGTCGCCTTCTCTAATCAGCAGAGCTACATTGCTGCTATCAGTGCTCGCTTTGTACAGCTGCAGCACGGAGAAATCGATAAACGGGTGAGTGGAAAAAAAAGGGAGCCTCTGTGTTTTTCCACCTCCCTCCTCGAAGCCCCTCTCTTTCTGAAGTCGTCTCCACACCACAGTCTTACTTCCTGTTCCTTTACCTCAAACTGCACTGCCTTTCTCCTTATGATGAACAAAAAAGTTAGATTTTTGCTGAAAGTAAAATGCGTTTGTTGGAAGAAAGGCAGAAAGCTGGGAGTGCAAAGTGTCAAACTTTCCTCCTACATGAAAAATTATTTGACCTTCTCTTATAAAAGAAGTTTCATTCCATGTTTTTTTTTTCTTTCACTTAAGTAGAAAAGCAGCAGTATTAGCAGCAGTTTAACAAGACTTGCTTTTAGATTTGGAATCAACGATTCAGCTGAATTTCCATAAACTGTAATGAGGCCTAACTTTTTGAGGTTTTAATCAGAGCCATGCATTTCGTAACGCTCTTGTTAAATAGAAGGATCTGCGCTGATCCAAGCTGTAGATGTTCTCCAACTGTGAGTCACAAAATTGTATGTGGGAGCAGTAAATGGGATTCTTGCATCTGGAACAAAGGTGCCGAAATCTCCCCTCCCACTCTGCAGCATCTCTGTAAACACTTTATTTTTACTACTGCAGGTGACATTTCTGCGTGTTAGCCTCGAAACAATAGTACCAATAATGCTTCTTCTGCTGGGAGGCAAAACTCTGAACTCTGCTGCTTCTCAGCGTCACCGCTTTGCAGTTTCAGTAACGTGGTTTCCTCATGGTGCAAGCTTATTTATTTGAGGATTCACACTAATATTTGCAGCACTGGTGCACAATTTGCCATAACCAGTGAATTATGCAAATGTAATCCAGTGTTTGCAAAAGAGTAAGTGCAGATGCCTGAGAATGAACCTGGTGGAACTTCTAGTAGGCTGTTTTTTCACACTTGAGTGATTTTTCAATATCTATCTGCTAATAATGGCACAATGCCAAGTTAGTAAGATGGTGAAAAGTGAAGTTGACTCTTCCTGGAGTACATTCTGACCTTAAAAAAGGAAAATAACAGATTTCAGCATTTGGACAGCTATTATGAAAATTGACATTTAAATTTGACCTTAAAAAGCTCCTTGAGTCTTTAAAAAATGTTCTGTGACCTTTAAGACCAAAACGGAGCCAAACTATTAAACTAACTGTGAAGTTTTTCTTTACAATTAGTTAACTAGATGTTTAATTAAAAATCTAGTTTTTTCATGCTTCAGAAAACATATCAAATCAAAACATGTTTAAAAAATTTCCCAGCCATTTATGATTGGTACATTTCTAATGAACACTGAGAAATATTTGAGGCTGAAACCTGGTCTAAACGTTTCCCTTCATATGATTTCTGTCAGCAGATTTTTTTTTATGACCCAATAACAGTAGGAAGCAGTGGTAGTATTCATTCTGTTTGCAAGAAATATGATTGTTGGTTTTGTGTAGTTCAGTGATCTGCTGGTTTTTAGTATCAGAATGTTCCACTTGAAATCCCTGTGAAGAGCTGGAAGTAGCAGGTAAATCTGCTTGCAGAAGTCACACTGACCTGATTTTGTCAAATGCTGGTTTGAATTCTCCACAAGTAAAGATTTACAACTTTAAGCCAGGTTGGCCAGGTTGGAGGGAACATCTAAAGTAAAGACAACTTTCCATGAGTCTAATGCAATCTGGAAAAGTCTGGAATAAATTTTTGTAGTTTCCAGATCTGGTTTCAAGTTTCCCTCTTTTCTATCATTTTTCCTCTCCTCTTCCTTACTTAAAATTTCCTTTCTTTCCTTCATCACTCCTTCCTTACTTACTTTTTTCTTCCTTCCTTAGAAACTTTCTTACTTATAACTTACTTTTGTTTTTTCTTTCTTTCTTACTTTGCTACTTACTAACTTACTTAAAACTTACACAGAAGGAAAGAAAGTAGCAACTTTCTTTCCTACTTTCCTGTGCACCTCATCTCTGCCCTCCTTCCCTCCCACTCCTTCACTCTCATTTATTCAGGGTAAATATTTAAAGTCTTTCTGCTATATAAATACATGCCATGAATTCATAAAACCCACTGAGTTGTAAAACGTACGAAATATTGAAATGAGTAATGTGTAGAAAACTATTGTTTACATCACCTAGAGTCTTTTGGGAAAAGAAAAAGTCTAATCCTCACCTCTGCGTCCAGGTGGAAGTGAAGCCATACGTGCTCGACGACCAGCTGTGCGATGAGTGCCAGGGGACCCGCTGCGGCGGCAAGTTCGCGCCGTTCTTCTGCGCCAACGTCACCTGTCTGCAGTACTACTGCGAGTACTGCTGGGCGGCCATCCACTCCCGCGCCGGCCGCGAGTTCCACAAGCCCCTGGTGAAGGAGGGAGGCGACCGGCCGCGCCACATCTCTTTCCGCTGGAACTGAGCGACGGAGAGGGAGAGGCGACAGAGAAGCAGGGGAAGGAGAGGTAGTGCAGGAGTCGCAAATCATTGTACAAATAAATGCACTTTTCTGTTGCTGGTTCCTTTTTTGCTCTAATTTCACCTAACAGCATTTTGTTTCTGGTTTTATTTAAAGTTAATATATATCAATATTTTGGAGATAGAAAAGAAAAACTGGAATTGTATCCAAATATGTCCATTTAGGGGGAAAAAATGTAACATAATTTTATTTTTCTTCTGATTTTTTGAAATATTTTTATTAGTTCTCAAAAAAGATATATATATAAATATAGGAAAGTTTTGATGTGTGATATGGTACTCTGCTATTCAATTGGCATATTTTTCTAAAAAGAATATTTCCTTTTGATACAAGAGGCCCTTAAAAACACCTTTGATTTGACATTCAGCTGTCTTATATTGTAGCAGAGCTGTTGCCTTTTTCCTTTTGTACAAAGTCTTCACAGCAAATGCTGCTGAAAAAGTGCGTCATTGGCTATTTATTTCTGAGACGTGGGATTAAGTTTGCTATTGCTGCAAGAAGCTCCAGAGCAAATGTGATTAACAAAGGTGTTGCTGAAGAAGAGTGCACTTATTTCTTGTTTTAAAGAGTGAAGACACCGTATATGAGACCCTTTTGTAGTTAACCAAAGCTGAATTCTAATTAACTTTGAAGAACAGAAAGGGCCCACTGCAGGAAGAAATGGAGTCTTTTCTCTCCCTGTTTGAAAGAAGAAAAACTCTTTCTATGAGTTCCAAGACCATACAGACATTTTGACGTTACTTGAAAAAAAAAAAAAAAAACGCAACAAATTTTAGCAACACAGATTTGGGTTTTGATCTCCATTTTTCACATGCAAAAACCAATACCTCAGACTCAGCTGCTAATGTGCCGAATACATTAAGTAGAAGAAGGAAAAACACAGCAAGTAAGCAAGAAAAGAAAAAAACACATTACCACTCTCTGGTGTTAAGCTTCCCTTTGAGCAAGAATCAGAGGGAAGTGATGCAACAGACAGAGAGTGGCCTAACAGGCACAGTTTTCTACTCGCTTGCTTCATCACCTCCTTATTTTTGTAATCAAACCTAGGGTTGTGCTAGGGACTGAGTAAAGTATCGTACAGTATACAGTGTAACATGGGAATGTATGGCTAAGGGAGGATAGAGAAGAGGCAGGCGAAGAGATGAATGCAGCCCCGCTTCCCCTTCCTCATGTCCGCTTCTGGCTTCTAGAACAAGACTAGCAGCTAACCGAGAGCGCAGCCTCGTTGTTGGATCCAAACCAGATTATTCAGGACATGAGGTGAAGGTACAGCGCCTTTCAGAAGCATTTCATACCGCTTAATCTTTTTCTACATTTTAGTCACATTACAGCCACACATTTCAGTTTATTTTATTTGTTTTTCACGATATACCAACACATAATTATGACGTGGGAGGAAAAGAATAGTTTACAAATATAAACTGGAACCTGTGGCAGATTGCTCCATCTCAATCCAGATGGAGAATATCTTTCGACATCAGTTTGTAAATCTTGCCACAGATTTGTAGGCCTGGACTTTGATTGGGCCATTCTGACACATGATTTGATCCAAACCCTTCCATTATAGCCCTGGCTGTTTGGTTAGGAATGATCCCATATGAGAAGGTTTTCCTCTTAATTTTTTCCATTATTTACCTCCAGCTATCGCCCAGTCTGCTGTGACCACCCTGCTACCCACAACATGATGCTGCCTCTACCGTGTTTTACCTTGTGGAAGAGATATTCAGGGTGAGATGTAGTGTCAGTTTTCCTACATACAGAACTCAGATGGTAGATGAAACCAGAGTTTAGTAGCATTGAATTTCATTTAACGGTAGCAGATTGAAAATGGGTGGATACATGTTATTTATATACTACTTTGTGCTGGTTTATTAAACAGAATTTCCTAGAAAAAATAAACTGAAATGTAAAAAAGTTTAAGGGGCATGAGTATGCTTGCGTGGCGCCACCTTCTCAGCACCAAACAGGAAGCGCCTGTCTCCGCTGGTTCCCTTAAAACCCATTTGTGCAATTCTCCCAAGTCTTTAATATCAAAAGTGCTCCTTTTGCATCCAAGATTGAAAGCGACGCTCAATGAAGCGTGCAGTTTGCGTTAATCTGCTTTGCACATCATCAGCACGCGTTCGATTCACGGAGGGGGCGGGGGGGGCGTCCCTCCATCCTTTTTGCTGCCAAGTGAATCCAACTCAGCATCCAGTGTTTTAGAAGCATAAATGAAGATATTCTCTTGCAGTGTGCTCTACTACTACTACTACAACACAATCATGACCCACATGCAGTTTTCAGGCCCGTTCGGTTGCACCCAGTGGCTCATGGGAACCAAAGATGGCTGTGCAGTAGTGGGTCATGTTGTAGCTCATTTCCTGTCAGGATATTTGTTTTCTCTCATTTCTTTAGAGTTTCTTTTTAATTTTTCTCTCTCTCTCTCTCTACACACACACACACACACACCCACATATATATATATATATATATATATATATATATATATATATATATATATATATCACTCTGACCCAGTTTTTGTTTCACTGTTAAGCCCTGGTGGACTACAACAAACCAAAGATTGGCCTTGAACACAATGCAGGCGCTGCAGATATATTTAACAGTTAACACCATCTGTGGAAACCCAACAGGGCTTGCAGACACACAGAAAAAGACCCCAGCTCAAAGCGGAGGTGGTTCTGTCAGGCATGTGGTTTTTTTTGTTGTTTTTTTTTTTGTTTTTTGTTTTGTTTTTAATCTCAAATACTTCTGCAAGTTTAAAGCGTACATTCCCACAGCAAAGGTGAAAATAATCCTCTCATTTTCTTTGGTGTTTTCCGTCACTCAGTGACGATCTTCTAGCCGAGCATTTAAACTTCAGGGAGTTAGAACCGAAACTTGATTTAATAACACACACTAGTGAGAATCCTCATATTGGCGGGGGGTGTCGCTTTGCGCCCCTGCATCAGTTTTGCGGGTGAGCATTTTAGAAGTTTAAAAAAAAAAACACTTTGTGAAGAATTTGCTGTTTAAATGAGATGAGAAAAAAAAATATTATTTTATACATGGCCTGCTGATTTTTTGGTACAGTGTTTTCTAGCTAAATTATTTTGTCATGCACATAAAAACATTTATTATGCACTACTTTTCTAAATATTTTTTTTCCTTTTTTTTTGTCTTTTTTTCCAAACAGTCATTTTAGGCACATTTTTCACAAAATGGGGAAACTCCTTTTTGCAATACCTCAATTTTTCACATTGTGAAAGGTAGCTTTTGTACTTTTGTTACTGAGAGATCTGCATATATGGAGATGTTTCATTTTTCGAAAAAAAGGACAAAAAAAAGTTGAGTGCTTTCAATATATATTATTTTCAATTATGCTTTTTATACATTTCCGTGCTGAGGAATCTTTACAACTTTACGAGTGCGCAGTTGTGTTGATGCGACTTCAGATCTGCAGAGGAGAGACCAAAGTGGAAAGCTCTCTTGGTCTTTGTATTTTATTTTATTTTTTTATTTTTTATTGGTCATATACCAGATGTTCTCCGGTCGATCTGCTCAATGAAAGCATGGCGGGAACAGAAAAAGAAGAAAATCTTGTAATTTCAAATTGATGTAAATGTCTCCAAACTTGGCTGTACTAGTTGGAGGAAATGGTAACTTCTGTCTTGGTTTCCTCTCCATAGATGGAGCATAACTTATAAAGAGGAGAATGCAAAATCTGGTTCACGCTTAACGCTGAATCTTGTACCACAAGAATGGATGTTTGGTGTTTTAGATATTTTAATATTTGAAAAAAAAAATCTATATACATATACATATATATATATATTCTTGAACTTGCCAACTAGCACCTATTGTAACCCTTAGCATGCATGACGAAAAAAGAGAAAATGACAAGTACATGAATTAGATATTAAAATTAACTGTTGTGGTGTGCACCAAATGTTTAACTATTACGTTAAGGACACCTCAGCTCTCCCCCTCTCCCCCCTCGTGTCGATTTCCCCCCCGCTTCCCCTTATCCGCAGACCTCTGCAGGGATGCACATGATGGAGAGATAAACATAAAAAATGAAAAAAACTTAATCCGATGCAGCAGTGCAGGACTTTGAGCATTCGTGTTTAAAAAAAAAAAAAATTACAAAAAGAAAAAAAAAGCAAACAAACAAAAAGAAACACTGTTTTGAAAAGACTTGAGAACTCATCCCCGCCGTGCGTCGCGGTGAGCTTACGTAGACCTATCTGGAGGAAAGGGGAGCTTAAAGACTTGAATGTGGTAAATTGTTGCAAGTTAACTTCAAGTTGTTATGTGCAATACTTCTTTTGAACCTTTTTCCAGAGAAAGACTCTTTGCAATGTAATTCTTTAATGCCATTTTTAATTGCAGACATTTAATTAAAGAAGATGTTAATATGTTTTTCACAGTCATTTTCTACTGTTATTGTAATCCTTTTCATGCTGGTGTTTGTAAAAAAGAAAATAAATCAAACTATTTGTACTAATATAAATAATTGAAGTTATTTTTAAAACATTAAAGGTTTTTGTGCTCATTTTGCTTATTTTTTTGGTTTATTTTAAGCTACTGTGATTGATTGCATTGTAATTATTAGGTCAACGATGTATTTAGCTGTTTATTGGTATATTTTTAATTGGAATGTATAATTGATTTTTATAATTTTGATCAGATTTTTGTTATATTTTTGAGGTGAAGCTTTTAATATGTTAAAGTGTCTAGTTTTTACTAATTGCTATATTGTGCTCAACAATATATGGTTCACATTTTCTGAAGGAAAATAAATATTTAAATATTTGTCTGTTAATGATGTTACTTAATGGCAAGATTTCAATAGTTTTTAACTGTGTATGGGAAGGTTGTTGTATTTATTAATAGCATTTTTTACTTAAGATATCACCTTAATTTTTATTGTCATTTCACTTTATAAGTTCCTATTTTTGTATTTTCCTTTCTAATTAAGTTATGTAATACGGATATGTCCATATTTCTAGGAGTTGGTCTGTAGAAGTGCTAGTGAAACGAAAAAGAAAAATCTAATGTTATTTAATTGTTTGCAGCCAACTATTTATAACAGTATGCATAATTTTTAAATATTTGTAATGTGAAATGTTGAATGAAATAAATCTTAACTGTGATGAAAGTGTGTGTTATGGTCTGATTATTTATGCTTTGTGTTAGGACTTTCAAATTGTGTTTTGTTTGCCTAATGTTATACGTTTCCTTGCGTTGAGTTTCCCGTATTTAGCTGAGTATCGATCAGCCTGCGGCTGTGAATGGTACAGGCAGTTCAGGTTGCTTTACCAGCAGCAGCTCTTCTGTTTTACTAACTGTCTCATTTTCCTCTTGATAATAGTCCATAAATTCTGTTGCTTGGATTAGAGAAGTTTTCTGGCCAATCAAATGCATCAATACATAGTTAATGAAGCACTTATTAATGTTTTTTGTGCAATATGGACATGTGCCAAGTCCATCTGGAACAGAAAAGCAGCATCTCCAGGAAGCTTGTCAGTATGGAGAAACATGAAGTGCTCTAAAATTTCCCGGTGAATTGACTTTAAACAAAAAGGCTGGATAAACACCAGCATATGAAACAGCTCCTTAAATCATTAGTGATTGTGGAAAGTCTTCAAACTCTTCAATGGACTTTGAGTCAGAACCCTCCTAAAGTTGTCTTCTCTGTTACTGGAGCACCATATTCTACCACATGTTTTCCTTTCACCCACCTTTCTATTGGCATGTTTAACATATTTTGTGAATTACTCTATTAAAGAAGGTGTTGATTCTCTGGACAATCGTCAAGTCTGTATCAAAAGGTGTCTCCTTATTGGTCAAATTTAAATATTTGAGAAACAGACGTTTGGATTTCTATTGTAACCGCCCACATATTTATCAAACTTAAAAAGTAAACAACTGCTTACATGTATGTCTCTCTGTGTGTAGAGACATATATTAAAAAGTTAAACTTTTTGAATGGAGTTACTAAAATAAACTTCCTTATAGTAGTCTAATTTACTGAGGAAAAACTTCCCATTTTGTAAATCCCAGATTTTGCCACCATGCATGTAAATGTCAGTTTTGTTTTGTAGGCCTCCATACTGATGCCTTCATGCCGTGTGAAGCCTTAAATCAGACTAACTGTAGGACCCTGTAATTTTATGACTGGTAATAAATGAGTGGAAATGCACTCAAATCATAGAGGAATAATACCTTCTCATTTGTTGGCATCCCTGGTAAAGATGTGTAAAAAAAAAAATTGCAACTACATATTTCACATATGAATCGATACATACCAAAAGTAATACGTTAATGAAAAAAAAAAAAAAAAGAAATCTAGTACACCATAAAAGCCCCCACTTGGCAGTGTGCTTCAGCTGCAAAACATTTTCCCCACAATATCATTTTTCAGCCAAACAAATGCTTATTTCCTGCCAGCACAGAGTCTAGATTACTCAGCTTTTATTCACACAGCTAAAGTGCTTAGTCCAATTTTTCAAAGAAGGAAATCAATACTCGATTTTTTCAGAGTGAAAAGGCTGTCCTCCTTATTCAACAATGTCATGCTTCAATTCTCATTCAGACACCTTAGGATGGTTTGCCAGAACATGTTTGCTCTTTTTCACTTTCACAGTTTAATTAGTTTTGGAACACCTTGGTCACAAGCAGCACAGAACTGTGTGATGGTATAAAGAACAAAGGGCCTCTTGTTTAGTTGCTGTCAAAACTGTACCAAGGCTTCTGCAAAGCTCCAAGTTTCACACAATACCTCCACAGATCTGAACATATGCCGGTATATGACTCCATTGCAGCTCAGTTTTTATACAAAGAGCTGTTCTCCTGCTGAAAGGTAGATTTTTGGCCCAAGGTTCAGGTTTTTGGCTTCCTCTCAGGCTTCTTACAGTCTGTAATACAGTCAAAATATCGTCAGATGGCAGTGTAGGACAAAAAGTAAAACTGACACAACTCACATGACGTTGATTGCGTTTGGATGCCATGAGGACAATTTTTAAACATATATAGCCTATATACTCATTTCTAAGCCTATGAATAATTGAAAAACATATATACAGCTAGCACTGTGTGGACAGCTGAAGTATTCATGTAGTGTGAGAGATTTTCAAAGCAAAAATCAGATGTTTTTTTTTTAGTTAAAACATTTCTATTTTTCATTTTGTCATCTGGATTTAAATTAATTTCTTATAGATTTTTTTTTCCATATTATTTTCCAAACGATTACACCTTCCCAATGTAGAAGCTGGAATTTACGAGGTACTGTCAAATGCAACATTAATTTAGCTTCCACTTTAACCAAACAAACGAGACCGGGGGATTAAGGAGTCGAAACATCCCTCTAGCGGCCAGCAGCTCCAGCGGTTGGGTGTAGCTCCACGGAGAAGAAGAGGCTGTGCTCGGATTAGGGGGTTGGGCTGCCTTTGCTTGACGGAAAACCCGCTGCCAGACATCCAGCTTGTCCTCGGCGGCGCAGTGTTGCTTTCCCGCAGCATCAGCAGCAGCGACACCGCAGCGCGGCTTCACCTGCTCCCCAGAGCTCCATCCCCTGGTCCGCACTCAGCGCTGCCGCAGACCAGAGCAGGCGGACGGACAAGGACGAACAGCTGGAAGTGAGTGGCATCACTTTTCTTTGCTAAAACGGCGGTGAGAGAATGTATAGTCTGTTTGTCCTCCAAAACCACAATCGTGCGTAAAATGTCCATGTTTTTGCATATTATCGCAAACCAGGCAGAATAATTTCTGCCTGTAAACAAATCCACAAACTGACAATATATCTGTTACTTCTGAACTTATTTCTCTGTGTTTGTTCCGGGGAGCATGAGACGTACTGTTTTTGGTTTTCAGGAGCAGCTCTTGAGGGAAATAAAGGGATACAGCAAAGCTGACGATGGTGAAACTGGGGAGTAATCTTCAGGACAAAGGGGCCAAAGCTGTGAGTGTTGAGGACGGCTTTCAGAATGTGCCCCTCATCACTCCTCTGGATGTTGGCAGCCTCCAGAGCCAAGCACCTGACAAGGTGAGACACGTACAGCCCACCAGCTCTGTGGGTTTTATCTGTGTTTGTGTATGAGGGACAGCAGAGCCGGCCTGAGGTACACGCAAACTTGGTGACATCTATGGAACTTCAGGAAAGATGCAAGTTGATGTTTACAAATAAAGTAGCTGAAACAAATAAAGCAAAAACACTGTCAGTAGAGGAGATGCTGTGGAGTTTTTCCCAATAACTTCAAAGAAAGAAAAAAAAAATCAGTCTTATTCTTCACAGAGGTGTTAAATCTGACTAAAAAAAGGAATAAAATTCTCTTAAGTTATGCACTGAAGCATATGTTCAGTGTCCCTATATGTTGTGATTTGAGTCAGCTACATGATCTTGGTTGATACATTTAAGAATGAATAGAAAGTAATTTGAGTTTTTACTTTTGTTGCATTCAACAAAGGGGGCAACACTTACAGATCAGAGCCAATCAGGAGATAATTGTCTAATTCTGACTATTATTCTGACATTTGCCTGGACATTTTCCCCCACATCATCTACCCTCTATTAATCAGCTGGTTGTCTGTACTTTGCTTTGTACCAGGAGTCTAAACCTTTGGCTAGAGAAACAAGGCGTGGAATCTGTTGAACCTTTAAATTACTGGATCTGATTTTACCCAGTCACTAACATTTGGGGTTGATGTATGCAGTGTGCCAGCTCAATTGTTAGGAAAGATATGCTATAAAGCTTAGCAGAAATTGAGTGTGAAAAGAATTTGTTTTATGACACCCTTTGTTTAAAAAGTATTTATGGAAATAACCATAATCTACAAATTATTTGTGCTCATCAACTGCAAGTACTATTATTTTTTTTCTGATTCTAATTGGATTTATTTTAGCTATTCATATTACCTACATATATGTGATTAAAACAGAATGAAGAAACACTGATTTGGACAGCTGCAGAAAGTCTGCACATGATTCCTAAAAAATATATTTTCAATATTAACAACCACTTCCTCCATTTATTGTCAGCTAAAGGTTCTCCTGTACCTTCGGCCAACAAGAAAAGCTGACAAACCAGATAATTTGCCAGGAAAACCTTGTCCACCTTGTTTGATTAGAAAAAGATCAGTGACTGGAACCAAATATGACTAACGTTAAGACACATGAACATATACAGTCAGCTAATTTAAAGTCAATTATACTGGAAAAAAAATATGTTGACAAATTTATTAAGCCAATATCATATCTTACCCATTAATGTTATTTATTTTTTAAGAAAACTCAAGAAAAAATATAACATAGTGAACGCCATTGGCTGACACGTTTTTATAGCAAAAATGTTGGAGTTTCATTATGCACTTAACAGGAAAAGGAAAAAAAAAATTCAGACCTCAAAAAGGGTGGGAAAACAAAATACAGCCAATAAAAGGATGGTTTCAAACTCTGAGGTAGCTCAACAGGAAGTGGACCTCCAAATGACATTCTGCAGGGGACCTCTTATTATTTGGGCCGGCCCAATTTGAGTGTTTATGTCAGGGAAAGCTTTATTGGATGTGCATCTGTCTGTCTGTTTCTGTTGCCATTTAAGTCGATGTTGTGGATCCAGGCCATCCTGAAACCCTCTTAACTAGAATAACCCCATCCTCCAAAGTACTTACACACACACTAACACACACGCCTATGATGTTTGATTCATTCACACATTCATTCATCTCAGCTGTCTCCCGGCTGTGTCCTTTGTTTTCCAGCTGAGATTAGGAGACAGATTTGGTGCCAGACAGCTTGTCATTTATCATCCTGACATGCCATAGTAACTCCGCCGCCGCTCGTTAATCCAGTCACCATGGCGGTGGAGCAGAGCCGATTGGTGCATCTATCTGCGGGGTTGGGACAGAGAACTGTGCTGATTGCACATTATGGAAATGAATGGAACCAGGCAATAGGCAAGCTCATTATCACTTTCAGCACATTTGGAGGCTTTATGTATGAAATGTGTTCCATGCAGCAATCACAGCTCCTTTAATTCATTTTTCCTATATTTTTACCTTTGTGTACTCATCAATTTATTCAAGAGATTTTTTTTCCAACTTGAGAAACTTTGGAAGCCTTGAGGTTGTTTGCACTCCTGAGTCAACACAGCATCTTCTCTTCATTATCTTCAGAATGTGAAGTCATCCGCAGCCGGGTGGCTTTAAATAGGAAAAAGCACTGGCATCAGATAAAAAATATGACATATTTGTCTGTTGCCCATTTTGCAGGTTTTTTGTTGCTTTACTGCGAGTTCATTCAGTGGGCAGTTGGTGTTTCCTGCTTGTAGCTTGGAATAGGGAGTCAATTTTATGTGCTTTGTGTTGGACTTCACTGCAGATTTTTAGATGGTTTCCTATATTTTGATTGGTCGTTGCTGGGGCAGCAGAGGAGGGACTTGCCCAAAGTGCCATTCATGCAGAACCTCCATCAGTGAGCATACAGACAACAGCTAGTTTAATTTGTGTTAAGACACATTTATCAGAATAATACTTTTCAGTCTTCTTTGGTGCAGGTCTTAGATAATGGCTATGTAATTTCAAATTCTTACCAATAAAGTGATTTAAATTGTATGCTGCAAAGGTATGCAAAATTCTAAATATTGAAATAACTGATTCCTGTAGAGAAAACAAACACAATTTATTTCTCATTGTGTTATGTACCTTTCTTAGCCATAAAATTATGAACTCAAAGTCAGTTTCAACTAAATCTTGCTTTTGCAGACCAAAAACCGGTCACCCTTCAAGACAATGGGCTCAGTTTTTCAGTGTTTATTGATTTTTAATTATTATTTTTTTTACTTTTAGGTTGTTCGTTGGTTGTTGTGACCCTTTTATTGACTAGAAAACATGTTGAGGTGTAAATAAATCTGTGTCGTCAGCATAACAATATAATGAGTGATCCAAAGGAAACATGGATAGTTTGATGGACAAACACAAGCTTATTTAAAAAAAAAATAAAATAAAGAAAATGGTAACAACTGTAGATGTTGACATAGATATCAATAGCATTGTTCTCATCAACATTTGAAAATAATCTAATGTTTTGCTCTTTTTTCAAAATTATTGTTTTTTTCATATTTGTCTAAATTTTAAATATTACGTAAATAACAAAATCAGACACAAAACAGAATATATTTTGATGTAAGTTAGTTATTTCGCTAAAAAATAATGCTGGATTATTATAATAAACTGTGTGCTTGAGTAACGGGTTTAATGTGCTTGCATCATTTCTACTGATCTGTAACAGCACACACACAAAGAAATGCGTAACAAAGAGAATATAAAAAAACAATTTCTACTGAGATCTCTTTGCAGAAAAAGAAGCTCTAAAACCATTTTACATGCAAAATTGTCAAATTTTTAATAAGCTGGACATCTGAAGATGGTTCTTGGTATTTAAGCGATTCTTTAATCTAACACAATCATACAGCTGCTGTTACAGCATGCATAAAGTCACTGCACGGTCTGAACCCACATTTATTCTGCTTATGGAGCCCCCGTCTCTTTCCATTTCATAAACCTGTTAAATGACTTGTCCTTCAATGCTCTTACACACTTGCATTTTTACTCACAACAACAATTGCTCGCTTCCAGCAGAGTGCATGTAGGGTGCAGCCTTGTGGACACATGCAAGCGAGTGTGTGAATTGCATGTCGATCATGTCTGCAGCGACCAGTTTGTAAATGGACATCAGTCAAGCTGTCACTCATTTCCCGCTGATTAAATCGGTCCCAGCAGAACCAAGAGCAGCGAAACTGCAGCCAAAGCAGCCATCAGAACCTCAATATGCTCTATAGAAATATTCATGTTGTTTTACTGCATTTTTTTTTCTTTTAAAGATTGCACTTGTTTCCTCCTTGTGAATAAAGTTGCTGACAGATGATGCAGATATTGCATGCCATTTCCCTGCCTCACAGTAAGAAAGCTGCTGGTCCAGACTCTGCATGCTGGTGCATGTTTGTCCTTGCACTTGCATAGGACACAATGAGAGTTGGAAAGATTATTTGCCTTTAAGTTTCTTATATGTCAGCAACCTTAATTGTTAGAATTTGTGCTGCTGGCAGGGAGAGCATGGATGCGATTCAAGGCAACAATGAATTAAATCTGTAGCTATACAAATAATACAGAATGATGACTGAGGTAAGGAGGAATACAAGCAACAACACCCCCCATAATTTATTTGTTCATGACATGGACCTGGATTCAAGGCCTTCCATAAAGTCACAGCTTAAGAGACACAAAATAAGTTTTGTTAGGATTCTTCTGCAATTTAAAGTGCTGAATTAAATGTCAGAAATGGTTTACTTCCTTTTGTTTTTTGATAGGTTTGTTACACTTAAATGTTTCAACTCATTAAACTAATTTTACTGCCAGACAAACAGCCTGAGAAAATACGCAATGCAGTTTTCAAACAATGACTTTAATTTTCTAAGTAGAAAAACATCTAAACCAACCTAAGCCAGTAAGAAAAAGCACCTTAAACAAAGTGACTGGTTTTCTCACCGTTGGCTGGAACAAATTTTTGCGAATGTTACATTACTAAAGAGAAATCTTGGCCCTCTCTTCTTTTCAGAATCCTTTTATTTCAGTCACATTGGAGGTATTTTAAAGATGTACAGCTTTTATTTAGGTCATACTACAGTATTTCAATTGGATTCAAGTTTGGTCTTTTTAGGGTTCTTCAGACCATTCTTGTTATTCATTAACCATGTGAGCTTGAGAATAAAGTCACAAGCTAAAGATCAGAAAATCTCCATTAGGATTCATGGTTCCATCAGTTACAACAAGCTGCTGAGATCCTGATCAGATCATCCAGATCGTCCCACCACTATATCCAAATGAAGGATTGATGTTCTGATGCAACATCTTCCAAAAAGACTCTTTTGCCTCTTCAGTCCTCAAAATATTTTCTCAGAAGTGTAAAACATTGAGATGTTCTCGTCTCTTACAGCTTTAAACCATATAGATGATCTAAAAGGATTTTGTTTTATATGTGCTTCATTCATTTTACTGTGCCTTAGTAAAGTAGAAAAGTCTGTTAGTACATTCTGTTTTGTCAATTAGTTGACTAAAAATAATGTGATGGAGTATTTTGGCTTTTTATGCTAACCTCTCAAAGCTTGAACATCAAAGTCACAGCAAACACTGAAAAATTCAGTGAACACATTTCTCTGTTCAGAAAAAATATGCATTTTCTGCTCTCTTTCACGCTTTTCTCATGACAACTGTTTTTTTTTAAACAAATCCTACATTCACCCTTATTATGCTTGATTTTTTCTTAAGGAGAATAAAAATATCTAACTCTTCCAGTGTTAAGTGCTTTCCAGCTGTACTTGCTAAAAAAGCTGTGTGCTGCTCAGCAGGTTATGCACATGTTTTGGAACAAAGCTGGTAGAGATAACACTGAAGCTGTGACAGAAACCTGGAGCAATAAACTATTCAGACTGTGAAATAATAATTAGAAACATGTTTTAGCACTTCATACAGCCAAAAGGAGGACGCTTAATAATTTTTGGAATTGCTTTCCAGTGTTATTTTGGTGTTATATTCTTAATTTATTTTGACCTTAAACATAAAAAATTGGAATGTGCTCCTAAAAGTAAATCTTTGGAATACAAATCTCAGTATTGCTGAATTCAAAGCAGTTTTTTGGACATAATTTAGAAAAAAAAACAAATTGATTGTTTATCTACTTATCTGAGACTGTTGTTTTAAATCTGCCCTCCAAAGTTTACAGGGATGATTTCTGGCTCACATGATCAGTCCTGGACTTCATGTCACCCATTTGGTTCTGAGCAGCCTTACACACACACACACACACACACACACACGCACTGCCTATGAAGGACTGCGCTGTAGCTGCGGTTATGTTTTCTCATGGTCACTCTGTTCTGTGTTTACAGTGTGTAACCCAGCTGAGCTGCTTTAAAAGCTGCTCCTACTCCAGGTTTGTGTTTTATCCTAGCTGTGCACTTAGAGACTGATTAATTCCTCTGATATTGGGAGAAGGCAAACTGCTGCTTTTATTTTCCAGATCAAAAAGGCGCACCGGGAGAAGCTAGCAGCTCTTCAGGAAGTATCCCTGAGCATTATTAGTCAGATTTAAAAATGTAGAAAACATTTTACATTCATTTCCAAAGCTAAAAAGATGTATAAAAAGCCTTTAAAATTAATTAACCTGGAGATGTTCTTCCCCCTGCATTTCAATCCTCAGTGTAACATGATGGGCAAAAATAAGAGTTCTTACCCTATCCTGTTTGTTGAATTATTTTTAATTATTTTCAGAAGCAATAATTTAAAGCCATTTCTTGATATTTAAAAATCAATCAACACATAATTGCA